TCTCTCTCTCTCTCTCTCTCTCTCTCTACCCTTTTTTCTCTCTACTTCTCGATCCCAACAAAAAACCCCAAAAAAACCTCGCTTTCTTTCCAAAAATGGAATGCCTCGGCTGCGCGAGCTCAGCGGCGCTCTCGGTCTCGTTCCACGACTTGGAGATTTCGTCGCGCATGAGTTTGCTTCCGGCGGCGCGGCGGCGCGAGGGGAGTCTCCGGAGGCGGGAGGGCCGTGCTCAGAGTGGTAGGGCTGCCGTCGCCGGAGGGCGGCGGGGAGGAGCCGGCGACGCGCGGCGGCCGGCTTCGATAGAGTGGAGGAATTCGCGACGAGGAGCGACTATATAAGGCGGGAGGGAGTTGAGATTGTTTATGTTGAAATGCAGGGGACGAAGGCGATGGAGTTGCAAGATAAGATTTCGGATAAGGTGATTTGTTATTATTATTATTATTATTATTACTGTTCCATCGCGACAGGAACGTGGTAGTTATTACTGAACCCCCCCTGATTTTTGAAGCGCGTTGCACACGACCCCCTGACCTTTGGAAAAATTAAGAGAACCCCCATATTCTGGGGGTAGTTTTCCAACAAATCCCAAGAACTTTCGGAACGATCTAACCGGGACAAATTACGTACTAGGCTTCTAGCATTTGTCAGAAGAGAGAGGATAGCGGGATACGAGAAAACTTTGATGGGGTTTTTTTAGGGTGTTAAGGAGAGAGGGAGGTTTATTATTTTTTTTTTCAAATGTTATTTTAGTTTGTAAAACTTTTCGACAGATGGCTTTTTTTTAGAAACTTTCCAAACTTTAGGGGGATTTTCTCTAAATTTCAAAGTTCAGAATAGTTTTGTGCAACTGACAGTAAGTTTAGCGCGTGTTTGTGAAACTTACCCTGTGAGATTAATGGGCCCGAAGTAATGTTGACTGAGATTAGCTTAATAGTATAATAGGTCCAAAGTTTGGAGTTTTATATTGGGTGGCACTAGGGGCACACCCGCAACCACATCTCAAACCACACCCCCTCTCTCATATGCTACAGTACACCGGGCCCCATATGGGATTTTAAAATTTTAAAATCCCATATAGAACCCGGTGCACTGTAGCATATGAGAGAGGGGGTGTGGTTTGAGATGTGGTTGAAGGTATGCCCCTATCATTTTCCTTTTATATTATAGTATGGGTTTGGTTAGGGGATAATCTGAGGGTGTTCACTCTATCCGGTGGCTAGCTCAAATGCTTCGACCATAGAGTGGATATCCCCTTCTGGCTTAGAATTGAAACCACCTGTATAAGGTGAATTTTTGGAAAGAATATTAGGAATAAATAGTTGAGGAGATTTGCATTTTATTTATATTATAGAGTAAGGGCGGCTTTGTACTTGAGTACTCGAGTACTCGAGGTTCCCATCATTGTTGGCTCTAGGGAGAGTCAAATGTACACGACCTTACCCCACATGGAGAGAGAGAGAGAGGTTGTTTTTGTTGTTCAAACCTGTTACATTTTTAAAATATCTGACGGGGCTAACGATCACTGTTTTAAATATCGGCCGATAATCGATATTATCGGCCGAGTTATCGGGTCTGGAAGCTCTCCGCTAGGATAAATTGGATTTTTAATCGGTTATCGTTTTTCTAGGTTTATCGCGATTTATCGGCGTTATCGACACTTATCGGCCGATAAGTAAGACTTTTTTATCGGGATTATCGGTCTATTTTGACTAACATTATATTTTTTCAAGGCTATGATGCAAGTTTCGCTTTCTACAATTGGTTAATGATTCTAAACATGATGATTTACATTTTGGTATGTTTATCATTAAGCATGATTAGATTACATTTTTTAATTGTTATATTATATATACACATCATCCAGTATATCACTCTGATAAATACTACTTATTCCCGATATATCCCCGATTTCCGCTATCCGATAAGGATTTTGGCCGTCCGATAAATCCCCGATAACCGATATTTAAAACCTTTCTAACAATAAATATCTATCTATCCAAAAATTAAAATATAATATTATACAACAAATTTATTGACGGATATGTTACATTTTTAACTTAAATAAGCTAAATTTCAAACAAGGTGCAAAGTTTTTAAATTATAGGGTGCAAATGATAAGTTTACAAGGCCATATAATCTAATTTTGTATAGGTAAAACGTCAGTAAAGGTCCTTAACATGTTAGCCAAATTTCATTTGAGTTCTTAACCTCCTCAAAATTTTCAAAAGCTACAAGTGATCCCCTAAAAAATCTACAAGCAACCCCTTAAAAGTTTTGAAATTATAAATAGCACCTTGAAAGTTATTTCTAATTTATAGAACTTTCAGGGGGGCAGTTTGTAAAATTTTTGAGGGTTTACTTGTAAAAATTTAGGTGTCCATTTATCCTTTTAAAAACTTCTAGGGTTTGTGTGCTTTTTTCCTAAACAGGGGTTCCCTAAAATTTTTCTAAACAACCATGTAAATCTTTTGAAGATTATAAATAACCCCCTAAAAGTTTATAGAAACCCCCAGAAGAATATGTAAGCAATCGTGAAAGTATTGAAAACTATAAAGAGACCCTTGAATTTTTACAAACAAACCTGAATTTTTTTTACAAATAGCCTACTGAAAGTTCTAAAAAATACAAATTATGTTTAGGGTTGTATTTATAATTTTCTAAAATTTTAGAGGGTCCATTATAATTTTTTTCGCTGACCACTTGTAGCTTTTGAAAAAATTTAATAGGCTATTTGTAATGTTGAAAGTTTAAGGGTGTTATTTGTAATTTTTAAATCTTGCAGGGGGTTACGTGGCAAAAGTGAGAAACAAAAAGATAGTCCAATCAGATGCCATGTTAGCAATTAGATAGCAAAAAATCTCAATAAAGTCCTAATCTGATGATGGAGACAACATTAAGGATCTCTATTGATGACTTTTAAACATTAATGACTCAAGTGCAATTTGACTAATACGTAAGGGACCTCCAGTGAAGTTTTGCCTTTTGCATAATCTTTGTTGGGATTTTGTCTTTGATTCATTGTATAACTTCATGAGAATTAGATATGGTTAGAGTTTTATCATGATTAGGAGTTTGAGTTCTATCATGATTAGGAGTTTGGGTTTTATCATGATTAGGAGTTTGAATCCTATTCTAATTAGGAAGTTAGGCTAGAGATAGGGTTTTGGTTTTCCTATATATATTCTTCTATTGGTGGAGGAAAAACCATGAAGAAAAAAGTAGAGATGTAGTAGATGAGAGCTCTATTGGTGGAGGAAAAACCATGAAGAAAAAAGTAGAGATGTAGTAGATGAGAGAGAGAGAGGGTTTCGTAGTCTTTATCCGTACAGATTACAAGGAGTGGGCTTTGGAAAGAATATGAGAGTTGATTATGTATGTGAGGTTGAGAGATTGAGAGACGAGAGTTGAGTGGTTCCTCTTGTAGTTCTCCCTGATACATAGTGAATTTCTCGTATTGTTGCTCCGTGGACGTAGATCGAAATTGGTCGACCGAACCACGTAAATCTCGGTGTTCTTTTTCTTGATTGTGGTTGTTCTATCTTATTGATTGGGGTTAGCTTCCGAGTTGCGCATATCGTGGTAGACGGGGAGACTGAAATTACCCAACAAGTGATATCAGAGCGATGGTGATGGATCCGGGAGCGAGTTTGCAAGATAGAAGATGACGCCGTGCAAGATTAAAAATCGGCGTTACAAGAATCAAGATGAAAAAAGGGGAAAAAAGGGAAATGTTACTGTAGCAGAACACTGTAGCGTGGCGGGCACTGTTCAAGTAGGGATCCGACGGTCCAGATTGATTTGTTAGCCGATTGAGGATTTGGAGACGTATTTTGGTGATCGAGGAGTCGTTCCTAGGATTTTTCGACGTGCTGAGTTCGTTTTTGGCATCGGTTTCATCAAATTCAAACTCTACGGTGACTGATTTGAATTTTGATTAGAGAATGATGACTTCTTCGGGTCCGAAGTTTGATATTTCGCTATTTAACGGCAAGACAAATCTGATGGTAGATAAGGAGCATGAGTTGGTTGGTGTGTATACTTGAGGAGGACAGTGCCAGATTAGGTGGAGCTTGCAAGTGGGCACGACCGAGTGACACATGGAGATGAAGATGGTGGCGTTGTACTTGAAGATGGTGAGCGTTCATATTCAGTTCAAGTCAAGTGATGGAGGAGATAAAGACATCCAGCTCGTAGTGTTGAGTAGGAGAGGTGCATCGATATGATTCGAGACGAGCGATGCAGGTGGAGCACAAGGACAACAAGAGAGGTGGGGGCGTCACAGAGAAGCAGAAGATAGTGAGGATCATGAAGGCATCCAATTGTGAGTGCATATGTTCTGATTTGAAGTGCGAAAGAAATAAAAAACTCTAGCGGGAGAGACAAAGTTTCAAGACGACGATGATATATCTTCAAGGGAGTTTGGAAATCAAATTCAAGGTGGAGATTGTTGGGATTTTGTCTTTGATTCTTTGTGTAACTTCATGAGAATTAGATTGGGTTAGAGTTCTATCATGATTAGGAGTTTGAGTTCTATCATGATTAGGAGTTTGGGTTTTATCATGATTAGGAGTTTGAATCCTATTCTAATTAGGAAGTTAGGCTAGAGATAGGGTTTTGGTTTCCCTATATATATTCTTCTATTGGTGGAGGAAAAACCATGAAGAAAAAGTAGAGATGTAGTAGATGAGAGAGAGAGTTTCGTAGTCTTTATCTGTGCAAAAGATTACAAGGAGTGGGCTTTGGAGAGAATATGAGAGTTGATTATGTATGTGAGGTTGAGAGATTGAGACACGAGAGTTGAGTGGTTCCTCTTGTAGTTCTCTCCCTGATACATAGTGAATTTCTCGTATTGTTGCCCCGTGGACGTAGGTCGAAGTTGGTCGACCGAACCACGTAAATCTCGGTGTTCTTTTTCTTGATTGTGGTTGTTCTATCTTATTGATTGGGGTTGGCTTCCGAGTTGCGCATACCATGGTAGGCGGGGAGACTGAAATTACCCAACAATCTTAGGGGGTGAAATTGCACTTCTAAGCTTATACATGCATCCACCCCGCCTGATGCCCTCCTTTTCCCCAACTTGAGATAGGCAATGAAAAAATGAACAATAAAGCACGTTACTGACGGAGTTATATTACTTAAATCAACAATTTCTCATTAATACTATGAAAAATTAGTAGCGTTGAATAACTCGCATTTATTGGGGCACTCGATTCCTTTATATTATGTTTGTAATGAGTACAATTGCTATGTATATACAATAATACAATCATTATATCTGTACAAACTCGTAATTTTCCCATAGCATATCCATCATCAACCTTTCTCGATATCAGTTAAAAATCTTACTCAAGGAGTCATCGCTGTAGTGGAGTATGGAAGTTCAGAGTTGAAAGAAACTCGTGGAGGTCTACTGTGGTT